AACTCGAGCGTGTAGCTGAGGAATTATTACGAATATTGTAATTGGAAAGTCAAAGATGTTTACTAGGACATACGTGAAGTCTGCCAAAACCGTACTGGAACAGCGAGACTATTGCTCCAAATCAATGCTATAAATTTAGAAGTGCAAAGTCTCCATACTTTTCACTTTTAAATTCTGAAGGATTGTTAAATGTAAGACCTTACCAAAAATAATATATCGAGTTTGTAAAACTATTAAGATAAATGTGGTAACTTTCGTGTGTAAAATATATGTACTATATTATGTAGAACTTAGCTAAGAGTGCAGCGTTGGCTACATAATATTTTATAAGTACATAATTATTTTAGACGAGGAAGAATGTATGAAATTTGTACAAATATTTGCATAGTAGAAAATTAATTTTGCTTTATTAATATTCGGCCTTACTAGTATACGCACAAAAAATTGTCATTACTAATTTATGAGAAAACTTGAGTATAACATTAATTCTTATCTTAAATATTCACGAGAATTCGTGTAGAAATTACATCAATATTTTTTGGTCATTGTTTACTGCTATCTTGTATACTAATTTTATATAATTTTATATGAATGATTTTTTATTATTTTGTATAGAATGTATTTAAATTGCGAATAAATTAATGAATAAATAAATTGTGAATTATTAAATTTCTCAGATTACCATTTTGTAGAAAGCACCAAGAAATTTTTTATATTTAATTTCTTACGTGCTTTTATTTCAACCTTTTATGAAATGGTCGGTTATTAATAGTGATGACAAGAGACTACAAAACTTTATACAAATGATTTAAGCTATTAATAGAAGTATTGTAAGGCTAATCTCCACCCAGACAATTGGTAAACAAGAACCGATTGTTTGGACGTCGTAAAACTTTGATGGGTGCTTTATGGCCGCATCAATTAATCGTGTACTGGCGGGAGGCATCTGGGTTAACTGTTTTCAATACCTATGACGTTGAAGAACCACTGACGTATCTTATTTCGGTCCTTTATGATTTCACCAAACATATGTTGTCGCTTTTTTGTTCGTAATAATCGAAATCGTTTGGCTCGATAATTTTATGATTTGGTTTGATTATAAATAGTCAAGGTAGCGCATAGATTCTTAGGTCAACACAATCATTCACATTCAATAACAGTCTATCGCAAGTCCACTAATGGAATGGGGTTATTTTGGAATAGCAATAGATTTTTTTTATTCTAGTATAGATTATAAATTATATCTATTGAAAGTCATTGCTATGTTTAATTTATCACTGATTTCGAAAATACCTTTGTCCTGGGGAGAACCAGTGGGAAACCTAGCGGGACATTTTTTTTAAAAAAAAGGTCAGTTTACAATGTTATGTTAAACAATTAACTATACAAATAATATTAGAAATACCTCGGTAGGGACCACCTCATTCCCAGGGTTTCTTTTTATAGGATATGGGTGACAGTCCACCTGATGGTGAGTGGTTGCTGTAGCCCATAGACATATATTGATTACGAATCAAAATGTTGTGTTGTCACCTGTGAGGACTAAAATGGGATGCCACGTTTCAAGTAAAAAAGGTCTCCGGTTTTTTACACTCACCATACGAAAGACAGCAGCGTTAAGCTGCTATTTTACGCCTGTATTCTGTGAGAGCGTGGTCCTTCCCTGGTCGAGGCAGCTATATTACTGTTATAGTTGAAGCACAAATGGGTGCTTTACACAAACTATACCAGTAATATAGCTGCAGAATGACTCTACCACGTATGAATTATCAGCCATAAATTCGTTATAATTACCCTTTTTATATATTCTTTGTTTTAAAATATTTTGGAACTTAACAGTGGACAAATGTTGTATATTTTCTGTTCTTTAGTTCTAAAAGATTATACGAGGGGCACACTGAAATGATCGGGAATAAGAAATACCACATGCACGGTATAGCTTAATTGTATTTTGTTTTTCGAAGTATTCTCCGTTTAACTTAATGCACTTTTCCATTCGTGCAAACCAATCATTAAAACAGTAATTCCAATCTGAAGTTGATGTTGATAAAATGGCTGATTTGTACGCTTCCACAGCTGCTTCGGGGTCTTCAAACCGTTGACCGCGTAATAAATCTTTCATTCAATGTAAAGAAATCGTTTGGGCTCAGGTCAGGACTGTACGGAGAATGGCTCATCAGCTCAACGTTTTCCTGCTTCAAAAATCATTTGTCTTTGCTTCCATACGGCTCTCATTTGCGAGCCGTATGGAAGCTCGCATTATCGTGATGGAAGATGATGCGACGTTTCGGGTTATGTTTTCGGAGTTCGGCTATAACTTCTGGCAAACAATCCGTGATATACCACTCAGCGGTAACTGTTCTGCGTTCCTGTAAAGGAATTTTAGCAACATGCCCCTTTTTCGAGACAAACGTAGCGATTATTTTCTTTGACACGCTGCGGGAGCGAACCACTTTCGTTGGTTTGACCTCGTCTTCGAAGACGAGGTCAAACCAACGAAAGTGGCTGATGTTTTCTTTCAGGTTCGTATGAATAAATCCGTCATCTGAGACAATATTATAAATGGCATTTTCTTCCCTCCGTTGAAGCGTTGCAGAATATTCCGGCACCAATCTACACGAGCCGCCTTTTGCTCTTCGGACAAATTGTGGGGAACCCAGCGGGAAACTAGCTTTCTTACACACAGCTCATTATGTAATATCGACTGATTTGCAATCATTCCGATAGTGATAACAGCCCAAATCTGCTCGTATGTCACATGACGGTCATCTAATAATAGTTCGCACAGCTGCGTTGTTTTCAGGCGTGACCGCTGTTCTTGGTCGACATGCAGAAGAAACAGTGCTGAGCGACACACGACCGCGTCGAAACTCGGCATACCAGCGGTATATTGTCGTTTGACTCGGTGCTTCAACATCATAAATCGAAACAAGTTTGCTGAGACATTTATCTTGAGATAAGCCGAGACGAAAATTGTGATAAATTATGGCACGGAAATATTCACGCGTGAGCTCCATTTCTGTTAACGACGTGTCAACTTTAAACGAACATAGTTTTTGTTTTTAAACATTTTTTTTAATTGTTTGAATGTCATTAAGGTTCTAAGAGGCCAGTATTCAAATTCTAAAAATGGTTTTATTGGAACTCAATCCGAAATATTCTGTTCGCGATCCTTTCAGTGTTCCCCTCGTACATTGCCTTATGGATGATGTCCCTAAGGTGGAGTCGAGTAACTGGTACCACTAGCTTGCGTCAGAACCTATTATTTACAGAATGTAAACCTCTTTTTTCTAAACTTATATTTTTGTTAATGTAAGAGGAAAAATTTAATGTATTCATTTTCTTAAATTATTTAGAAAGTTTTAGGTTTTAAATCTCAGATTGTTATGGTCCTATTCTGCAAAATAAATATAATTTCAATGTCAGCCATAGCAAAATACCATACGACATTATGCTATGGAAATGACTAAAATAAACTAGTCTTGCTGTTTTAACGCTCTTGAGATTTCTAATCTTTTTTACAGCATACACTGTAGAACTAAATCTGCTAATTTAGATATATGGGAGCCCCATTGAAGTTTCGTGCCTAAAGTGATCCAAGAAAAACAGATGTTTAACATTTGGATACATAGATGTTTGATATTTGGAATTATGAATTTCATACATTAGTTTTAGTGCCATCCTAATTGCTACGTCTGGCAGGTGGGTTGGATAGCAGTTTTTTTGTTATTTTGAGTTGTTATCAGGAACGTGCTGCTGCCCAAATTTTATTCAATTTTTCGTAAGTATAGAGCAACACAGGCCACCGGTGGACCGGAGGGGAGTAGCCATAGAGTTTTTCCTCTATACAGAACTATTTGTCATTTTTGCGGTGGAAGTCTGTGGACATAAAAGCAATCGTCTATCAGTACGGTACTCTCAGATAACAATTAAAAAAATAAACTAACATTTCCACACATAAATAGGTACATCGCTCAGTGACAGAAACAAGTCGGATACAAACTTAGAACGCTAGACACTCGACCGATATGCATATTGTATGAGCGCGATTGGTCTGCGTTGGTAAACAAATCCGAAGTAACACGACCGTTATTATTGTAATTTTTAAGTATAAAAAGAAGTAAATAGCAAAAGTGTGATTAAAAATAACACATAGGAAAGGTTAAAAACGCTATCTTTTTGTAAAATTTGACGTGGCAGATCTCATTTTGCAGCAAAAAACTGAACCATTCAGCATTTTTGCAGTACATCGATTCAGCGCCGCAACTAGATCTAGTCTAGTGAGCAGTGCATCTGCAACTAGTTTTATTTTACGCATAGGACCGCGTGGACTTATAATTTGATCGCCTGCATATGGCTACTCCCCTCCGATCCGCCGGTGGTCCGAGTACCTCTATTGTGATTTTATTGGGTGGTGATTTTAGACTGATGAGACTGACATAGCCATCATGGTCACAGGTCTTGAAATAAATATAAGACTAAAAAGAAAATAAGATCAAAAACATAATACTTAAATGAAAAACATATTCAAATATTTGGTAAGTTTTAAGCTATTATAAAAAGTAAGCACTCGAACTCTACGAAAGTAGGAGGAATCTAACGCACTTACGGAAAATTTCATATATTTACCTTATACTTACGTACTTACTTGGGCCAAAGACTTCTCTAAGATATACATAAAAGTTTTTGCCTTGCGCGAATACTACTTTTCGGGTAAAACTAATTTTAAGGATTTTATCGTGTTCCATTAAAACTTATTATAATAGAGTTTGGAAAATAATATATTGAAAAGATATTGTAGTAAGTATATTGTTCATACTGCGTATATTGGACCGAATATTAGTAATTAAAACCTGATTAAGAACCGACGACAGTAAAATAATTTAATGAGTATGACCTTGTTCTAACTAAGATCATCAAGGCTCATGATCAATCATTCGTTTTTCGTAAAATTAGTTTCATTAAATACCAGCAGAAGCATTTTCTAGAATAAGGATTACCTCTTGAGGTGGAACATCGAAAGAGACAGTTCTGAGATCGACTTTTCTGTAGGTATCGACACAAGGTAATACGAAGAACAGACCGGGTCCTCTTGCCCCGCCTTTTCGTAATCGCCCCAGTCTGAATATTACAGCTCGTTCAAACTCTTGGACAACCTAAAGAAATATAAGTAAAATGCAGAAATCGTTAAAAAGCCAACATATTTATAGTAGAGGGTGACAAACAACCACACAGCCCTCCTGATGGTAAGTGGTTGCTGTAACTCATAAACATCTACATCTAACCTCAATAAAGAATCAAAAAGCAGATGCGTTGTCACCATTGTACTTAGATGAAATGCCTCTTTTCCAGTAAAAAGGGTCTCCGGTTCTCTATACTCACTATACGAAAAACAGCAGTCTTAAGCTGCTATTTTACGCTGGTATTCTGTGAGAGCGTGGTCCTTTCCCGGTCGAGCCGACCCATTCGTGCTACAACCATACTACTAATATAGCTGCAGCATGGCTCTGCCACGTTTAACATAAACTCGCAGTTAAACATGTAATATTCAATACATGTATATGTCGCTTCTTCAATAGCTATAGTATATATGCAACAGCCTGCTATTATTTGGTCTCATAGTTCAGGACAACACTGATATCTTTACACATTATTTCATCTGCGTTCATGTAAAGATTATTATGAATTTATATATGACGTGTTAACAACTTTCTTCTAAACTGTTAAACAGAATTTTGCCAATGAGAATAAAAGTACTTTAAATATTCGCTCGCCTGTTAATAAAAGACGAAAATAAATTAATCGTTTTCATTCGCAGTACACTGCGATTTTACTGGCCGCAACGTACAACGCAATCAATATACATCAACCGTATCTATATTAGTATTTAAAATAAAGATCAGATATTTGTGTGCTCAAGGAAACCTCTTGTACTCCTTGAACTCATTTTGTAATAGTACAGTAAAGATATTATCAATTAATCTTGTTTTTTCAACCGAATTCAAAAAAAGGAGGAGGTTCTCAGTTCGACTGTGTTTTTTATGTGTGTTGTTATCTCAGAACTTTTTTCTAGATGAACCGATTTTGATTATTCTTCTTTTGCTTCTCATGTGGTCCCATATAAATTTGATCAAGATCTGACCAGTAGGTTTTGAGTTATCCTTAATAATGAGTATTTAATTAATTTCGACTACATTGATGATGTTCTCATTTTATTTATATTGAAGACGGTTGTACAAAATTTTTAATTTTACCACTTGTATTAGCCCATAATAGTCCACTGTTGAACGTGGATCTCTCCCATAGTAGAAGAGATTTGCCATAATCGCCATGCTTGACTGGTGGATTAATGATTTCAGTACCAGACGGCTGTACCTTTGACGCTGCTCCTAGTCATTGGTATGGGTATGCGTATATTACATATGGGTGGCGATTAGGTTGTCACATTAAATAACACAGCGGTATTTACAAGTTCATATCGACATACGATTAAAATAATAAAATAAACAATTGTACCAAAAATAAAAAAAAATGCATCTATCAAACAAAATAAATAGCGTAAAAATTGACACGAAATGAATCACCTGGATAATATTAGTTTACTGACCTGAAGTGACATGTAAAAGCGGCAAAGGTGCGGCAGGTACGCGGTGCTCACGCGGTATCGACATAGGTAATTATTTACCTACACTTTCCCATTCATAAGTAATTAGGCAAAAAACGAAAAAAGGGCTATTGCGACTAGAATGTTAATTGTTATATATTTGTTTAGTTGTGGATATTCAAAGAACGTTATGTGGGATAAGTCTTTTCATTTAATGTGATAACTTTATCGCCACCCCGTATACGAGATAGCTATAACCGGGTTGGGAGCCACGGTATCTCTTTGGCATTTCTCAAAGCCGTCTCATAGTAATGATGGATATTATACATACATAATACATAAATCAATAAATTAGGTAATACAGTAAATTATTATACATGCCAAGAATAAACTTGAAAAAAAAATTTCAAAAGCACAGGTAATATAATTTTGCTAGAAGTACTAAGGTTAAATACAAGAATTAGAGTAATTAATTAATTAAATTAACAAGTGGGATGCGGGAAGTAAAGACAGTGTAAGAACCTCCGACGGAGGCGAAGTTATAGCCGTAGTAAGAATTATTAACTTTTTGGTTTTTGGCTATTTTGACCCCCTAGGAGTGTAATGAGAACTTTTTGCCCCTATTCAATCATGATCCCATGACATCCTCCACATGAGAGGCTATTCAAACTTACTATGCCTAAAGTTCAAGCCACCCCCCAATTTTTTTTGATTTTTGGCCATTTTGACCCCCTAGGAGTGTAATGAGAACTTTTTGCCCCTATTTAACCATTACCTCCATGACATCCTCTACATGATAGGCTATTTAAACTGACTAGGACTAAAATTCGGGTCACCCCCCAACTCATTTCTAGTCTTTACTTCCAAAATAAGAGAGATCGAGTGACCACTGACAACTACAAGGTGTCGACGGATCTAGTTGATTTATTGCATGCCAATGAACTAATAATGGGCTGTAACAATGATGATAATAACGATTACAATGATGACAATCTCGGTTAATGTGACAGAGATATAAACTATTCATTCATTTTCATCATCATTACAGCCTTTCATAAGTCCACTGCTGAACATAGGCCTACCCCAAGGAATGCCACAAAGCACGGTCCTGAGCCACCTGCATCCATCGACTTCCTGCATGTCTTACCAGGTCGTCACTCCATCTCGTGGGAGATCGCCCTACACTTCGCCTACCGGTACGAGGCTGCCACTCAAGAACCTTTCTTCCCCATCGGTTGTCGGTTCTTCTAGCTATATGGCCGGCCCACTGCCACTTCAGCTCACTAATCCGTTGGGCTATGTCGGTTACTCTGGTTCTACTATGGATATACTCATTTCTAAGTTTATCACGCAGAGAAACCCCGAGCATAGCCCTCTCCATAGCTCGCTGGGAGACCTTGAGCTTCCTCATACGGCCAGCAGTGAAGGACCACGTCTCAGATCCGTAAGTCATCACTGGCAACACGCACTAGATGTACAATTTCGTTTTAAGGTTTTGAGGTATGTCTCGTCAGAGGATGTGTCGTAGCTTCCCGAACGCTGCCCAGCCGTGTTGAATCCGTCGATTGACCTCTCGGTCGAAGTTGGACTTACCTAGTCGGACTATTTGTCTCAGGTAAACATACTCGTTAACAACTTCGAGCTTAGTGCTCCCAACAACTACCGGCATAGGTGTGACATGGTCATTAAACATGATCTTTGTTTTGTCCATATTCATCCTCAGACCTATTCGTTGGGAGACACTATTCAGGTCATTGAGCATGGTGCTCAGGTCCTCCAGCGATTCTGCCATAAGAACTATATCGTCGGCAAATCGAAGGTGAGTGATGTACTCGCCATTGATGTTAATACCGTATCCTTTCCAGTCCAGAAGCTTGAAAACGTCTTCCAATGCAGCGGTGAAGGATATAACGTCACCCTCTCTTACACCTCTCTGCAATTTGATAGGTTTCGTACTCTGGTTCTGTACTCGGATAGCCATCGTAGCTCTACTGTAGAAACACTTCAGCACTTCGATATACCTACAGTCAACTTGGCACCGCTGAAGGGGCTGCAGCACCGCCCATATTTCGACGGAGTCAAAAGCTTTCTCATAGTCCACATACGCCAGATATAGTGGCAAATTGTACTCTTCGGACTTCTGTACAATTTGCCGAAGGGTATGTATGCGGTCTATGGCGCTAAAGCCCTTTCGGAAACCGGCTTGTTCGGGAGGCTGGAAGTCGTCAAGTCTGCGCACGAGACGATTCGTAATCACTCTCGAAAATTATATAGAATAAAATTATATATATTTTAAATTTATATAAACTATTAAGGCAATGCAATAAATAAAAAGTGGAAGTTAGTAGAAAAATATATTTATTCTCTAAGGCTTAGCGTTTGAAATGTGGTTTTTTTTTAATTACTTACAAGAACAATGTTTTTAAATATCACTAAGATGATATTAATTAAAATATAAAATTACGAATGGATTATATTAAACATGACTACTATAATTGTTACTGAATTATAAAATAAAAAATTATTAAAATTAAGTATTAAAAAATAATTAGTAACAAGCGTACACATTTTTTTATTAGCACAATAAACAACTTCTGGATATTTTAAAAATATACGGAAGTTCACCTTAAAGCATTCGAAAAGTGAAAACGGGAAGGTGACGATGACGAGAAGAAACGAGAGGAATGTGGCAAATCTCTCAACGCATCCCACTGCTTCAGGATTCGCTGTCAAGTATGAATAGTTTTAGAAGACCGTGTTTATAAGGTAGTATAACATAGTGTAGTTATGAAAAACAGACTATAACCTATTTTAAATTTAGATCAGATTTCTCCTAAACATATTATAAGTACTTTTAATACAAGTAAGGCTAACAAGAAAACAAATGTAACTGATATTCACCTACATTTTCACACCTATATTACACACATAGACACCTATATTTATAATCTATTATGAATACAAATTTAGATGGGTGGTGATCCCTGAGGCCTATCAGTAAAAATGGTTTCTGGTTCTCGCAATTCACTATACGAAACACAGCAGCATTATTAATTATTATACTATTTCACGCTGGTATTCTAAGTGAGCGTGATTCTTCCCCATTCGAACCGATCCATTCGAGCTGTAGCAATAATACAGCTGTAGCCTAGCTCTACCGCTTATAAAAAAAAGTAAAAGTTCCTTTACAGATTGAACGAAATTATATAATTATTACATTCTATATTGAGCTGTACACGTTTTTAATAATGTTAATTAAGCGTATATTTATAACCTTCACATTACAAGTGTTCCATTTAGCTATTCTAGGTTAATGCTGAACGCCACAGGAATTTAAACGATTTCATCTTCAAATTGTGTTAATGCAAGATGGCAAATAATGTTCTCTGCTGTTAAAGTACTTACGCATTTGTATCGTTATAGCACATGAAGTACCCGTATCACAATCTAAAAGGTTCAAAAATCGCAGATATTAGAATATTTTCAATATTATTGTAACGATCACTTGTTACGACCTCAAATACTTTACTACTTACGGCTGGGAATGTTATCGCGCCTAGTGCTTACGGATCTGAATTCCGAAGGCATTTTGACTAGGTTTGTTATTTATTATACTTAAGAATATTTCTCTTACATAGAGATAATAAACGTAACAGTGTTATACTCGACTAACAATCGCAGACTGCGCTGACATACGGTCTAACTTACTGTCAGAAAACGCCGCATGTTTACACGACCCAAAAAACAACAACGATTCCAACTAAAAATATCAATTACAACGTTCAAAAACAATACGATATGTTGTAAATCGACGTCTCGACCGTCAACTAACTCCGTAGTATACTTTTAGTACAGAAATATTTACGTATTTCGAGGTAGCACTCCACTTCACCAGAGTCCTTGTCGTAGCAACCGAAATCCATTGTGTATTTGATACCGCACAGTGTATAGCGCATTGATTTGTGATCGAATCAAATTTTAAGTGTTCGCGATGTTAACTATCCGGTGTCTATATGGATACTAAGAAGGCGTGAAGCACAGATCAGGTTTATACTAACAATAAATAAATAAACGCACTTTCAGCCATAATATCGGGAGAGCACGGCCGCACACGGTGCTGCAAACTACCAAATTGTTGAGTTTAGGTAATCCCGAAACCGTTTATGCTCCACTGCAATAAATTACGGCAGGAGGTTTAGGTAACTGATTAATTCATACAAAATTTGTATTATATTGTTTGCTTAGTGCCCGAATACAGAAACGCAACTTAAATCATTCACTTAAGGCTTTAAGAAGCCTGAATGACCTTGACGAAATGGCGACCGCAGAGATATTAGCCGACGTCAACACCGTCTAGCGACTACTTTCTGTATTACTTAGAAATGTGCAACGACTGTAGAGGTGACAAGTATAATAAGTGATATACTGCCTACTGTGATTGCGCATCGCTAAGAGTTATGTCGCGGTTAAGTATCTTCAATTACATTGCACGGTGTGGTGCTGAAGCTTCGTCCGGTAGGCATCACGATCTATCAAGTGTTTAAATTTTAAGTACGTAAGAGTTTTTATTATATTTGTTGAATCGCATTTATTTGTGTCGTATTAGTATTCTGGTTCTAAGCGCTCGCTGTAAATTTCGCCAATAGCACGGAAATTCGCCGGTAGCACCAAATGAATTTTTTAATTGCAATTTTAAGTGCTGATTTATCACGTGATCGGCGGTGAAGGAAAACATCGTGAGAAAACTGGCATGTCTGAGGAATAAGAAAAAAAATTTCGAAGATATGTGAATTTCGCCAACACGTATTGGGGCAGCGCGGCGGACATTTCCTTGCCCTAAAACCCTCTCAGAAATAAGAAGAGTCCTGTGGCCAGCAGAGGGACTTATATAAACTGTTAATTTACTTTTGTATCGTATACATATGCAATATTCATATTATTCGTTTTAGATACAGAAGCGTACCTAATGCTGAGAAAAATATCATGTGGAGTGTGGAGGTCACGAAAAAGTAAAACATCTTGGTACATAGATAAAATGTTCTAGTGATTGTCAGTCATTTCATATTCCACATTTTCTATAGAGTTTAGAACGTTTCAGAGAGAGTAAAATAAAAAATAATAAAAATATTATGGGAATGATTTATTAATAATATATACATTTATAGGTATTTATAATAAAAATAATGAACAAGCTGCAAGGTTTAATTGACAGTGTTTCTTGTAAACACAATTATAAAATTGCTGTTCTCATTTTTATCAACGTTAAATTGATGAAAAGTAGTCAAGATCACTTTATTTAAAATATATTTAATTAAACTGGCACATGTTTGGCCAGTTTGAAAAGAAGATTTTGTCTGTTCTTAATTCTCTTGTGTACACCATTTTTCATAGAAGCATTGTTTACAACCGGCGTGGTTTCCAAAATCATGATCAAATGTCAGCTGTATATCGTTAATCAGATCCTGAAATTTTTGACATTTATTTTTGTTTTTATTTTTATTATATCTTGTAACCTTTTTAAAAACTGATACAAACTCATTATATTTATTTACTTATATAATGAGTAATATTATATTCTCATTATATTATTACTCATTATATTAGTTTATTATTTGTTATATTTTTTCTGTAACGTAAGTATTGGGTATTTTGGATAAGTTTGTAATTTTTTTTATATTATCACATAATTATTGCAATAAATTGTTACGTTTTCTGCAATGATTCCGTCGAAATTTGGGCGGTGCTGCAGTCCCTCCAGCGGTGCCAAGTGGACTGTCGGTATATCGAAGTGCTGAAGTATTTGTACAGTAGGGCTACGATGGCTGTCCGAGTACAGAACCAGAGTACAAAAGCTATCCAACTGCAGAGATGTGTAAGACTGGGTGACGTAATATCAACGAAACTCTTCACCGCTGCATTGGCAGACGTTTTCAAACTACTGGACTGGAAAGGATATCGTATCAACGTCAATGGCGAGTACATCACTCACCTTCGATTTGGCGATGATATATTCCTTATGGCAGAAACGCTCGAGGACCTAAACACTATGCTCAATGACCTTAATAGTGTCTCTCAACGGATAGTTCTTAAGATGAACATGGACAAAACAAAGATTATGTTTAATATCCATGTCACACCTATGCCGGTAGCTGTTGGGAGCACTAAGCTCGAAGTTGTAGACGAGTATGTTTACCTGGGACAAATAGTCCGACTAGGTAAGTCCAACTTCGACCGAGAGGTCAATCGACGGATTCAACTCGACTGGGCAGCGTTCGGAAGATTACGACATATCTTCTCGTTAGACATACCTCAGAACGTCAAAACTAGATTGTTCAATTAGTGCGAGTTGCCAGTGATGACCTATGGATCTGAGACGTGGTCCTTCACTGGTGGCCGTAGCTCAGCGCTCAGGTCGCTCAGCGAGCTATGGAGAGGGCTATGCTCGGGGTTTCTCTGCGTGATAAACTTAGAAATGAGGATATCCGCAATAGAACCAGAGTAACCGACGTAGCCCAACGGATTAATAAACTGAAGTGGCAGTGGGCCGGCCATATAGCTCGAAGAACCGACAACCGATGGGGAAGAAAGTTCTCGAGTGGCAGCCTCGTACCGGTAGGTGACGTGTAGGACGTCCCCCAATAGATGGAGTGACGACCTGGTAAGACATGCAGGAAGTCGATGGATGCAGGTGGCTCAGGACCGTGCTTTGTGGCATTTCTTGGGGGAGGCCTATGTTCATCAGTGGACTAGTGAAGGGCTGTAACGCCACGCCACAATAGGATCTATCCGTGAGTATACCGCACAATATATCAACTGATGACTTACCACTGTAGTAAGTCTTGATGTATCTCGCCCAGAAACGTTATTTCATCAGGTATGTCTCCTGTAGAGCTAGCACCATATTAATTTGCTTTAAAATTAAAGTCCACAATAATCTCTTATATTAAGGTGTACAATAAAGTGTAAATAAATAAATATTTTCATTTTGAAGGTAATTTATGCGAGTTGTCTTGATGTTGTTGATGAAAAGTAATTAATAACATTGTCCTAGAAGTAAAGAGAATGCTGTGAAATCCATTTCGACATCATACAGGCATAACCTAACCTTGGACTTGTATAGCTTTATAGGCTTTTTACTTCCTAATAAACATCTACTACAAATTTAATTAAATTAATAAAATCTTTTTATTTTTTTCCATTAAAAACATTTTTGGGTACATTGTGATATATAAGTAGTATATAGTAGCACACATTTATCTTTCTTGTTTGTTATTTGTAGTGGATACTATTATGATGGCGATAGTAAGAACCAATACACCATATCGTACGATGGGTGTTGTAAAAGGCGAAAGAGAAAAATTGATGGGCAGCAGCATCTTCCTGATAACAACTCAAAATAATAAAACAACTGTTGGAGAGGCCAACGCTCCGAGTGGTGGTAGTTCGGAGCTATTGTATATATATTGCTTTACTTCGGAACTTCGATAGCGCGATTTAGGCTTCGATGTGTTTCGCTTGTGGCGCGATGACGGCGCCACCACATCACGCCCCCTGCTCAGACTGGAGGTCGATAGTGCAGTCTAGATGTCGACAAATGTGCAAGTGCCAGGGAATTGCCTTGTAGTCTGCGGTGAGTCGAGAAGAAGGAAAGTAATCTGCGAGAGTGCCATGAAGTAGAGGCGAGCAATAAGACTCAGAGCCGTGCCGAACACTGTATAGTACGGAGAGTAGCTTGGAGGAATTGGAAGCATTATTATTCCAGTGCTGCGATGAACCGTTGTAAAGCTAGATGGCTTGCAAAATGTGAAGACTGCGGACAATATCTGCTCGGGAGGGAATGAATGAGGACGATGAGAAAGTTATAGTTTCGGAAGGTTGTTGGATGCGTGTCCATATCACGTCGGTGTCAACACTGTGGCCGTAGAACGAAAAGATATTCTACCCGGGGAGCGGCCATAGCTCTGAGTGGTAGTTCGGAGCTATTGTATATATACTGCTTTACTTCGGAACTATGAAAGCGCGATTTAGGGTTCGATGTGTTTCGTTTGTGACACGATGACAGCACCACCACAGTACCTAATAAAATTAATTTGACATCGAATTTGTCAGCTAAAATGCGTTGAGTAAATTCAGTAACGTTTCAGTATACCATTTATTAACTGAGTGGTGTTTAAGCGCAACTCTATTTGAGACACACTTAAATGCTTAAATTTACATTCGAGAATAGGAATATAGAGTTAAGAAGCTGCTCAAACCAACAAGCCGTTAAAATTTAAAGGACGTTTTTGTATTCGGGCATAATTCATACTATTTTACTTGTAGCAAACAAGATAGCTCTATGACAACTGTTTCATACGTTTCATATAATATTATATTTATTACTGTTTTATACTTGGACTTTGGACAAACGTTTCATATTATATTCATTAATGAACGACTGTTTCTATTCCTTTATAATTTGACATGTACATACGAACATACATTTCAACGGACACAAAACTAATTGTGTTCAATTTACAACAACGAATGTTAAAAATCTGAATACCAATGTGTTTTTAAATGGGGAGGAACTGAGCCCTGTTGAATCCACTGTTTTTCTTGGCATCACTCTCGACGCAAAGCTTCAGTGGGGCCCCCATATATCCAAATTAGCAAGCAGACTAAGTTCTGCAGCCTATGGTGTAAAAAAGATTAGAGGTCTCACTAGTGTCGAGACAGCTAGATTAGTTTATTTCAGTTATTTCCATAGCATAATGTCTTATGGGATTTTGCTATGGGGAAATGCGGCTGATTCAGAAACTATTTTTGTTTTACAGAAGAGGGCCATTAGAGCTATTTACAACCTAAAACCGAGAGAGTCTCTTAGAGATAAATTTAAAGAAATAAATATATTAACTTTGGCCTCTCAGTATATTTACGAATATTTAATGTATGTTCACAAAAACAAAGGTACTAG